TTCATTTTAAGATTTATTAATTAAATGGACTTATTCCAAATCTTTATTTTGATTGTTCATTAAGCCTTTTCCCAACCTAATGAAAGTTGAGTTAGCAGAGATATAATCAATAATTCATAATTTCATACCATAAATACACTCTGTAAAAGAGTCGTTTTATACTGGTTTTCACAAGGAACTGGACACCATCCAGTATCTTTACAACCTGAATAAAACAACTCAAACCTATGGTGGAAACACACAGATACTAAGATCCCTAGCAGGCAAAAAGGTTTATAATTTAATATTAACCAAGATGTATATCTCATTTCATTGTGAACGGGACACTTACAAATATTTACAAAAATGAATCATACAAATACGAATGTTTCAAATCAACTCTCACTCACTCTCGTGCACACATAAAGACAGAAACATTTAATCTTAACCTACAATTTATGTTATTTTTTATCGTCTACACAAATAATGATGATTCAGCCGAAGAAAAGTATTTCTTATTTCTCACTTATTTATTACTATTATTATTATTATTATTATTATTATTATTATTATTATTATTATTATTGTTTTATTCTTTTTGTTTGAAATCTGTTCTGTTTTTTTGTTATAGGAAACCGAAAATGTCAAATAGTTCACCAGTATACTTCAAAACCAAAAAATATACTATGCGTTACATGATTTAGCATTTCTGTGGTTATTGTTTTGCATACCTCTACACCCTGATGTTGACTTGAAATACTTTATTTAACATTCTTTTCCATGACAAAGAGATGTAAGTTCCATTCGACACTGTTGGAATGGCGTTTTTAACCCAAGTAAAACAATGAGAGGAACAGTTAAAGGTTATGACATGATACAGTGTACTACTACTTCTAATAATTATAATGATAATAATAATTGTTCTTTAGTATAGAAAGTTGTGGAGATAGTTTAATTTCGTTGTCCTACATGAAGGACTAAGTTTGGCTAGTTAATTATTGTAAGTAGGAAAGCTCTAGATAACTTTTTAATTCTGTGGTATATCGAACTTCGAAGTAATATGCATCCAGGACATCATTAACAATCGAAGCCAGGAACTCTGAGCTAGGTGGAGAACACTTAACCTTAATCCTACTGAGTTCACAAGCAATGGTTTACACGTACAATTTATAACACTGAGTGACCATTATCCATTGCCACTGATGATGTTTATTCTGATTTCGATCCCTGATGGGTATGTGGTTGCCAAATACTGAGGAGACTTATCCTGCAAAAAATAGCTGTTCATTACTTTCTGGCTTCCAATGGTTGTGAAGATTTAAACTCCTGATAACCAAGTTCTTACTTATGAATAACTTAAAGAGGTACTTCCCGGAGTTGTGGTGAGGTATGATTAATTGAGTCTAAATATTTCAGCCATTAAGCTTAACTAGACAGTTTGATTTTTGAGTACACAATTTTCTGAGTCGAACTATAATGAGAAAACATAACTCGGAAACTGAGTCGGCATCCAGTGGTGTACATAGCTAACGTCAGTCGAATCACGGTTTTGTCCGACCATCTTCCATAAACTGCGGTGACATTGTTAAACTCCACTAGTCACGGCTTTTCAATATAAATACAGGCATTCCATCTAAAAGTTAGTCACTAGTGAGCAAATAATTATTATCAGTTTAGGGCTTTGTGGAAACTATAGAATTCTCATAGTTTTAATTACAAAATGACTTTAGCTAGATCGCCATTGAAAACTAAGTAGCGCTAGACAACTGGCTCAGTGGTTTAGATGTCGAAGATTCGAGGGAGATCAAAATGTGGTAGGGTCATGGATATGCACTGCTAATGAGTTCCGTACTAGGACGAAACAGCTATTGTTTTACTAAGGTCAGATGGTGATGTAAATCATAAAATCTCTACAATCTCTGTAAAACCCTGCACTGATAAAATCTAGAACAAAAGATTTAAACAGAGAAATTGTATTGTGTCCCAACACTAGATGTATACGTATATTCAATGGAAGAATGATGTTCACCTGTAGTTAGCCCATTCAACTATTGAAATTACTAAAATCTGCACAAAACCCCTTCTGATTTATCATTATTTGTCTACTCGCTGTAATTTAGACATTTAATCCACTATGTAAAATTATGTGTGAGTCTGATTGAGCGCATGTCTGTCATCAATCTTTATATATCCTCCCATTGATTGTAAATGCAGACAATGAAAATTTTATCCACAATCGATTAATATTCATAAGTATTATATGGACTCTTTAACACACATACACATACTCTCACTGATTTTCCTTGTGTGTTTGTTATCTGTGCACTTTCGGATTCTTACCAACCATTAACAATAAACTACCTCTACAACTGGTGTTCGGACTTTTGAATAACCTCGAGTAAATTCATAATACTACTAGGAGATTTAACCTACGTAAATGAATACTCAGTTAACGGGATACTATTTATTAGAGTCAGATACAGAGGAATTAACCTCTACACACCAATGTTCTGGGATGAGCATTAGTCTGTCTGAGTGTGTGTACACGATAAAATTTGTAAATTAAACTGAATATAAAGGTAACAGTACAGACGTTAAGTATGTCTGATGAAATTTCTTAATGAATATACATATAAAACACCACATTTTCTGTTAGAATTGTATTTACCTTAAAGTTATCCAAAAAAGCTATAATAATAATAATAATTATTATTATTATTATTATTACTACTAATAATAATAATAATTATTATTATTATTACTACTATATAACTAATCGATGAGTTGATAAATCAAACAATGAATTTTACTTTTCAGAATTGATTAATTGAACTGATAAACTGAAATTGTTTGCATCAAGTACTTTTTAAACAGATAGAGGCAATATAAGTAAACAGAGGTAAGTGGTGTTTGAATTGGATACATTTTAACATTACAACAGATTCATACACGGAATTCGTACACGACAAAAAAGCTGGAGAGATTGGAATTAGGAAGAAAGTTTAGTGATAAACTAAAGAATATGAAAATATGGGATTCTAGAAACGAATGAATTAAAAGTATGAGTATGAATCTTAGTTCACAAACGACAAATTGGTTATTGTATCAATGTTTTTTTCAACAGACAACACGTAGATGTACAATCGATTGTTCGCTTGACTTGATGAGATTAATGTGGTTAAGTGTGACTACATGTAAAACCAGGATTTCTTGATGCGGTATTCTCTCAAATAAACGGATATCAGAAAACTGGATGACTCGAGAAAATGTGATTCATTTACTTTACGATATTACATAATCCTACACGAAATTTTTAGAATTAAACTCAGATAAAGGTTAACAATGGAATACAGGATAGGTGTTTCGACGTATTTGGGATTTGTCAGTCGGCTGCACTTGCATCCTAATTTTGAAGATCACACTTTAATTTGAACCTAGTTTCTTTTGTTACTGAGTTTAAATAACTATAAGCTTATGCAACCGACGTGAATTTACATTGAATTTACAATGCACTTTACACAAAATAAACATGATTGATATTTCAAATTTTGTTGAGTGGCAGATAAAGATTTCGTAGGTCATTAAATAGCCTAGGAAAGTTGAGATCTGATTATTAGATTTACTGATTGCCTATTATATCAGCATCTAAAACAATCTGACAAATAGAGGAGTCCAATAGAAAGGATGAGTGACGTTTAAGATAATAAATAAGTACATGAGAAAGTAATAACCACTATTATATGGGCGACAAACTTAAACAGTTATTTTAACGTCATGAATATACGTTCACCAAAATCATGTGAATAAATAGTTCACTAATTTAGTTAACGAAGTACAAATTTTTGGAAATATTTTTGAGATTCTCTTTAATTAAAACAGCTAGTGATGAACGAACCACATTCAGTTAGCTGAGTAAATTGAAGCAGGTAGAGTGAAGGTTTTGAATTCGCAACTCCATGACGGGTTTAAACAAATACTAAGCTTTTTTTTAGACTAAACAACTACTTTTTAATTGTACAAACAAAATCCTTTTATTATTAATGTATTTATACTTCTACTATGAGATAGTTTGCGATTCTTCCCATTTATGTACGATTGGAAAATGTTACTTAAGAGGAGAGGTATCAACGCATTTTGAAGAGATGGCAAGTAATCTGTCCACAACAGTTCAACAATAGTAACTATTATAATGCACTATGAAGCTAAAGAAATAAGAAAGAAACTCAGTAAAAGCTAAATATTTCAAAAAGTTAAATCTGTAACACAGCAACTGTTTAAATAGCAACAAATATGACCTTGGAAAATACAACGAAAATAGTATGCTAAAAGTCAAGGTAGCCAATCAGATAACAGCTAAGTCCATTGAGGCACCAAGAATTGAGAAGTTAATAAATCAGAAGGGGTTTTGTGGAGATTTTAGTAATTTCAACAGTTGAAATCATGAGTCAATTGAAGCTAGACCACCATGAAAAGCCTGGAAGCACTGGATGGCCGTTTTGTTCTAGTATGGGACTCCTCAGTAGTGAGCATCCACGATCGCGCGTTCACGAGACTCGAACCCGGGACCTATCAGTCTCGCGCCAGGCGCTTAACACCGCTGGATGCCGGCCGGGTCAGTGGTCTAGTTGGTTAAGAGCTATGTAATCCGACGTCCTAAACCACTGGTCACGACAATGCCGAATATCTCAGACTAGGTAGTCAGCACATACTTAAAGGATCCGTTCAACAGTCACTTATTTTATCGACTGATGTTAAATCTAACCTTAGTTTTTCAAATCCAACGTTCCCTACAAACAAGCGAAAATCACATGTCATTTGTAAATGACAGTAAATTATTTATAAACCTTTTATGCAGCACAAAGCGATTTAAAATATTCTACACATATTCTCCTTTATACTATTAATTAACAATGAGCATATTCACTGTTGTGAAATAGCAGATTAACAATTAAGCATTACAATAAATCATAATTTAAAGTAAAAAAGACGAGAGAATATCAGGGACAAAAACGTCAAATTACCAGGAGTGAAAATTGGTGGATTAGTGTTGTATCGTGATGCGTTATTCTGATGATGATCAGTAGGAATATTCATTGTTACTGTTGCTGCTCCCGTATTAATTGTATCACGATTCGTCACTGAATAAACAGATGAAATAAAAACAATTACGAAGAATTGGTAAAAAAATGTTCATGAACATATATTTAGATTATGTAACTCACTATACGCATGGAATGGGTGATGTTTAAAAGATTAAAGAATAATTGATGAAGGCTTGTAATTTCTCGTTGCCGGTATCCACGACTGCAGTTGATTAGTCTCAGTTAGTGCAAGTGTATCTTATGCAGATTAATTAGATGTAGCGTTAGTTGGCATGTGATTAATAGTGAAATCTCGGATGTGTATTTCGTCTTATTCGAGACTCCTCAGCCGGATGCTATAACACTACATAGGGAAAACCCATCCATGTTCCGGATATGACAACATGGACTGAATTTAGTAGCACAGGTGATAATGCATTGGCTGTTTGAAGCAAAAGGCATCGGATTCGAACCCCAGTGTAAGTATCAACACGAAGATATGGCAGGCACCTCCTAATGGACGGTCTCAAATGGGATGAGTTCCAGTGATAGCCTCAAAGGAAGTCTACGAAAATAAAGGATAACATTTAAAATATAATCTTGTAATTTGAGTATACACTTTTGAATCGTGGGGAGTAATGGATTTTTGTGTGTATTTTAGGGTAGGTTTTCCCATTAGAACTCGAACTCATTGCTTATCACTTCCGAAACACAAACCCATTATCCACTAAAGCAATGAGTCTGGATAGTCAATAACATGTTCAACAAAAACGATATTTTACTGGTGAACGTTTATATTCTAGATTGAAATTTGAACAGTCTGTTGGCTTCCTGACCAAAAGCGCAGGCCGCCATTTTTATTAAACGAGCATTTATTCCGATTTAAGATTTTATTACTGTAGATTTTTTAAAACTAACTATATCTGTCAACCACGTACACTTACCGGTTTTTATAAAATGTTTACAACGTACCATGAATTTAAATTCACTTAATATTGTTTACTTGAATCTTCACATTGATGTTTAGAACTGTAATTGATCAGTCTCCTATTAGCGTATGTGCATACTGTGCGGATTGCCTCGATATTGTCTTAATTCACAAGCATTATAAGCAAGTTAGATAGTGGTTAACAGTGAAATCCAGGACGCGAATTTCATCCTGCTTGAGTCCTAGGGTGAACATCAACTCTGAGATGCAGGTACATCCAGCTGACGAGTCCCAAATGGGACGAAACGCGCGTCCTGGATTCTATTACCAGCTAATTATTCATCTTTGCTTATCACGAATTTAGTTACTTAGACACGTGAAATATCACCACAGTGATCTGAGCATTTTCATCTGCCTCTCAACTATCTGTTCTTTGAAGAAATGAGAGGTAATTGCTACAGAATATATAGAAAGACTGGTATAAGTGAACTCCCAAAACACGACGACTCTAGTCAAAAAACACTCATTTATTTAAAGCAATTAGTCCCTTTTATAAATTTCGATAGAACAATGAGAAGACGGAGTTGATCTGAAAAATGTGATGTATTTGCGCTATACATTTCGAACAATCTGGTCACACATATTCTTGTCAGGGCATTTTATATGAAAATTAATAAAGGTCAATTACATGAACAATGCAATCAAGGGTCAATGAACATGTGCCTAAATGGCTTCAAAATCAATGTGTGTCAAACGATCCAATCAACGTGGGTGGTAGAAAACCACGGTCATCGATAGCGAAACATATAATTGAAACGGGGCACAAAATTGATATTAATGCAGCTTTTAAAACGTTGTATAGAAATTGTCAAGGACGAATTCTTAAGTTTATAGAAGCCTTGGCTATTCGTAAATTTAAGCCCCCTTTATGTGTACAAAAACAATTTGTCGTAACCTTGAATTTACCTTGGTAATCCTTGAGTCATTCTATGGCCTAGGATAATGCGACAATTTCTTATCTTTTCTCTCCCCTTTGATATTTTTGTTTGTACTTTAACTTTCATGTAATTGACCTTTATTAATTTTCATATAAAATGCCCTGACAAGAATATGTGTGACCAGATTGTTCGAAATGTATAGCGCAAATAAATCACATTTTTCAGATCAACTCCGTCTTCTCATTGTTCTATCGAAACTCATTTATTTATTGATTCATACACCCATTTTTTGATTAATAATTAAAATAAAATCACATATATGAAAAAATGCTTAGTTATAACAAATCACATACTGAGCATAGATCATGTTAACTAAATACATAAATATCGTACACTTTACAGAATAAAAAGGTCATACAGGAAAACAAAACGCAATACTACACTGAGTAATTATTACACCGAATTAAAACGGAAGTAATGTTGAATAAAAATCATAATGAGTAAATCGATCTAATTTTAAGTTTTCTTCGCGTCACATCACCAATGAACACGATATTTCATATAACTATGAAATACAACATTACAAGATTGCATTGATGATCTTAACAGTGATATAACTAACGATCTTCAAGATTCCCAGTCAAGGCGTAATAGTTTACACAATAAGTTAGTATCCAATATCTTGTAATGGTTGGCTAACAAAGTTAATCTGTGGTGTAAAACTTTGCATTCGATAGTCTTCATAACGTTCAATAATACAAGCTAATTTATTTTTGATAAGTCCTGTCACTGAACGCTTAGTACAATTTCCTAGCGTTGCTAATAATCCAAGGCTGAATCTAAATGGCAACTCGAACGCAAGAGAAAAGGCGCGAATAAAAGAATGCTTCACTACAAGGTTAGTTAATGTACAAAAAACGAGGGTATTCATAGTTTTACAGACAACCGTTAGCTTCGAGAATCATGCCAAATATAGTAGTAGCATAGGGAAATATACAATTAAATATGTGACACGTAACTCTTCACTTTCTAAATGTTTCTGAGAAGCTTCTGTTTAACGCTGATCAAATAAAATGCTTTTCGGCGTTTTTCGGGCTCCTATGGTATTTCCTGAGAAACACGTTGGATCTCCCTAACAATTTTACAGAATTTTACTCAATTTTCATTTAAATAAAATGTGAATATAACAATTACTAGCTAGGAATTTGTTACGATTATTATAAAATACTTTACCATTGTTAACCCACATAAGTTGTGACAAATCTCAATAATTTGTCGACCAAAAAGATAAATTATTTGTTGAGTTCATTAAAACTTTCTACTTAATAACTACCTAGCTTGACAACAAGCAATGTTTACTGGCGTGGAATTTGATTGAGAAAGCTAGAATTTACTAATACAAGACATAATGTAGTGCGCGCTATAAGTAGTATGTAGCGGAAGTTGGGAATGGAATGCTTACCAGTAGAATATTGAAAACTAGAGAAGAGGAAAAACAGAGAGAAATCGAGATAACAACAGGATTGGGAGAATGATGGGGTACGTAAAGTATAACTGAAGGAAGATATGCAAATGATGTTCACTATAAAAGCATCGTTCCATGAAGTCACTAACTGTCAGACTTAACCATGTTGACAGATTCACCCTATTTTGTCAAGACTCCCGTAATTATCGCATCGCTGATTAGCGACATTGAATGACAACTCAAAATTAATGGCATTAGTGTAAAATAATTGATTGACCATTCTCCGTTGAATCTTGAATCATAAATTTTTTCTTCCATGAACTCAGTTTTATTCTTCTTGAATTGTATTGTCTAAACATGAAATTTCATACCATTGTTATACAATAACTACTACTAATCTGGCATTTTATCACGTTAGTCTGATTTAGTGTGACAACTTAAACTGGTAGATATATTTATCAGGTTCTACGTTGATTATGGCTGGATCAACACAAAGTAACAATTACTGATCCATTGTTCAATCTGTTAAATAAATTAGATGACAAACAAACAAATCCATTTCCAATGAGACTGTTCTTTATGATAGCCAACCACGTAATTTTCAATGAAAAAAAGACGAAGAATTGAGCTTCGCTTTACAACAGCAACGTTTATTTTATATTTTAATAACAGATATCTAAGAAGAAATGTACAATGTGTTGAGAAAAAAGGAAGGGAATGGTCGTTAATACAATCAAGTTTCAAACTGTTTATACATCATTGTGAAGTTTCATTAGTAATGTGAAATATCTTTCAAAGAAATAATTGGTTTATTCCAACAACCAATAAGAATAACGATATGAGTTAAAGTGCACCATTCAAGCAACTAATTGGTCGCCTGAAGGTCATTCCAATTTTTTTAAACGTATAGATTCACTTTTTAGGAAACTTTACCAGGTTCTCTTTCCCATAAAACTGATTTTCATACAATAAGGAAAATTTCAAAAATTAAATGTATCACATAATAACAATGAGGATATTTATGAGAATCTTGTTTAATTAAGAGATTTACAAATTTATAATACTGAAACAAATTATGATTTACTACTACATACTTCAGTATTTATAAAAAACTAAAATGCGTGGAAAAATCCTTATTGTGAAGTACGACAATTATTGCAATAGAAATCAAAATTGTAGAAGCTCATTATCATTACAAATAACAGCTGATACAGTAGAATCCATGATAGACGTTTTATCTTGATTGAAGACTTATCATGGATAAAAGTACTTCAAACATTAAATTGTCCTATATCTACTAAGTAACTGCCATGTTCAAAGGGTTTGGTATGGTCATAAATGTTAGGTATATATATAAACCAATTACTGATAACAATGGAAGAGATTACATAATTAAATATGATTAAAAAAAAGTACAAATTCAGTGTAAGATAATACGTGTAGTAGTAGTGACATTAATTTGTAATTTTTACTTATTATAAGTAGTTATGTAATCTATTTCATTGTTATCACCTATTTATTCAATATATCTACATCATATATTCATATACATATTTCTGTTCGTTAAGGTAGAACGTGATGATGTAATTAAAAACAATATTGTTCGCTGTTGTATGTATTGTGCTAATATTCTTTTATTTATCAACTGGAAATGATATGCTTACAGAGATAATGCAAAATGTTAATTTGTTGGAGGTGAATACATATTCTCTATAATGTGAAATGT